TGGATGCTGGAACGGTACGAAGCTTTACGTGGTGGTTTTAGAATTAGCACTTACAACAAGCCAACGGAAATTCAAAGCTGCTGTCTCAAACCTGGCTAAATCTGCTCTGAGATGAACCCCTAAGGTGCTTTGGTTGAAGCTTCTCTCTATAGTTGTGGGTTGTAGGACGTTAAAAGAGTGGTAATAATAGCATAGTCAGAATGACAGATTTCTTCTTCGGAAAAAGTAAAAACCAATGCAGTGTTCATAGTGTGTGAAATTACATTTTGGGCTGTTGATGCTACCGTGTGTCATAATCCGTCTCTGTGCTTTTATGACGGTAAACATTGGCGCTAAGTGGTAGCTCTGTAATAAGGCCTTGACATTTCTACAGCACACTGGAGAAGAGTGTGTAAAATTAACATTTTACATAATGAAGTAACACAGTTATCCAGTGGGGCTTTGAATAGAAACATCTGTACAAGCTTCAGCTTTTATCTTTTATACTTCAGTCACCCAATAATGAGATACGACACTAGTCACAGTGATAGCTCTCACTTACTACAATAAAAGGAAAATAGGAATCTTTACTACACCCACTATAATGTTGTGATTGTATTTAATATATAACATATTTGTGTTCCTAAAGGTGATGTTTCTGTGGATCGGACGGAACTGCCACCCCAATTTCCTCACACAAGTCCTGGGAGTTCCCAGTTACGCTGCTGTGCCTGATAACCTGGTAGGAAAACTCATGTTGCACCAGGATTGTCCCACAAACTGGCTTGATGCCACGGTAACAAACAAATATTGGATGATTGGACAGTTGGGTAAAAAGTGACACTTTTGGCCACCAGATAAAGACGCCACATATGCAGCACTCAGTGCAGAATAGACGTGTGGCGTGTCATCACCCTCCTACTGTCTGTAGCACAGAGTTAATATGCAATGCTGTCATTGCATAAAATTAACAGAATACACAGACCCCAGGCCTTTATTTTTAACAAGTCGAGACAGAGCTGTCGCTGTCTTCAGTGTGTTGTTCTTCTGTGCTGTTAGGTGTTCTCTAACGGCAGACTAGAACACGTGTAGGTGTATTTGTTGTCCTGTCAAGTAAGACTTCCATCCTGGTATCTACGGTACTTGAGAAAAATGAGTACCCTACACATTTTCAGAATTCTGGCATCTAGAAGTGTCTGTTCTCATGACATCCCTTCTTGAGGATGGCATAATGGTCACATCTGTTATTGCACATACAGCATAGCTACACGTTCACTCATCGCATCCTCCTCCCACTCTCTCCTCTCACAGTATCTGCTCCCCGAGCTGGACACTGCCGAGTCGCAGAGAACCAGAGCTTTCATCGGTTGGCTCAGAGACCAGAGGCCGTTCTTCCCCTCCCTGCATGTCATCAGGTGGGCAACAGACAACATCCTGTATAAGAGAGTTGAGAATCAAGTTGGAACAATGTGGGGAAATTAAATCAGCCAAAAGCTGCTGGTAGATTTTAGTTTTGGCAGTTAATGAACCGTCATTTGAAGGTCACCTTCTGTTGTACTCGGTGAACCCTGGAGAACCTTGTTGGCTGATAAAATCTTGAAAATTGTGACTGAACAGATCAATTTACAGTTAATATGACAACTGATAAATAAACTCAACTGAAAAATCAGAAAACTGAGCAGCAGTGAGGTTACTCATGCTTTTGTTTAACTGGAACAGAATTCGGAGGTCATTTATTACAAAAATCGGTAACTTAGAAAACCATTAAAGGCTGCAAAAGCAGTCTCGTAGATTTGAAAGGGATGAACTGAGTTTGTAAGTGTGCAAAAGTTCAGAAGTTTTCATAGTAAAACCAAACACTTGAATTACCTTCGCCATCACTTTGACAATTTCAACAACTACATCTGATGTCTCTTGACTTTTTTTTTTCACTCTTTACCCTTTGACTCTCTCAGGGACGAGAGCCAGCTGAAACCCACCTTTATGCAGAACATGATCGAAGACCGAACAGAGTCGGCCCTGTCATACTACGAGTTCCTGCTCCACCTCCAACAGCAAATCTCCAAATAATTTTCAGTGGGACTGTGGAGAGCAGGGAACACTCAAGTGAGGACGTGCATCAGTGTATGTGTGCGTATGTATGTACATGGTGTGTGTGTGTGTATGTGTGAAAGCAGTGGAAGTCAGACTCAAGGATGCCTCTTGCTCAGTCTTCGGCTATGGCCCACCATCTCTCTGAGGAAAAGCTGAACTGATGTGACGTGTCGCTCAAATCAAACTATGTGACGGACAGTGTGAGGACAAAGAGACGAAGAATCGAATCTGATGCTTATTTGGCACTTTTTACCCAGCTGAAGCAGTGCGTTGGAAGAAGAAAAAAGAAGCAAGAAATCCAAGATGATGATGATTGTGATTATATATGTCAATGATCGAATGAATCAGTGTTTATTCTCAGAGAACAATGCTGTCTAACTGAGGTATCGTTCTGATACAGTTCAGACAAACGGATGTGTGAAGTGTTTTTGTTCAAAAAGCACAGTCGTCTTTACTAAAACAAGTCAAACGTATGTTTGTGTGTGCTTAAGACTAGGTTTATGAGGAAGGTTAGTATGTCTGCGCTCAAAGACTGTTATTGAGTGTCACCAGGAGTATTTGTACACAGAACACCTGAGCTCTAACAACACTCTTACTATCGTACCTGAAGGACAGAACGTGTGCTTTTTTTAATTTCCCACTCATTATAATTGTGTGTCGAACAAATGCGTAGACTCTGTTGTAAAAGGCAGGAATGCTTAAGGTGTTTGAAGGCGGATCGACCTCGCCGTCATCGCTGCCTTGAATGTGTGGACTCGGCAGTGGAAAGTCTATTTCATTGGTCTGATCTGTCCTTCAGCAACTCTCTGTCATCCCTTCTCTCTCTGGACATTCAGAACACCCCTGATGACATCGCTGTTCTGTTTGTTTGTTTCTTCTTTTTTTGTTTCCATTTATCTAATAATTTATGAGACTCCCAATCTGATTAAATTCTATAATTGCCTTGTATGGGAAGTCACTTTTTATTATTAAACCTCTGTTTAAATACAGACTCTATATATGAAATATTTTAATATAATAGGATATGGGAAATTCTTTAACACAGACATAACAAAGCCATTGTGATCTTTTAATCATGCTTATTGATACTTGTATATTGAAAATACTGCATTATATAAAGGTGAAGAAATGGTGATGATTTTAGTATAAACAATAAGGTGAAGTGACGCTAAGGAAATAAAATGTTTGGGACTTTTTAAATGTAGTTTTGTGTGTTGGTGGGTGAACAGTGTTGATTCAATGAAAGCAAAGACTACAAAACAGTATGGACCAATAATAGTCAAGTTTTCTCTTGACTCGGCGTGAGTTTTTTTTTTTTGATTTGGTCTGATTTCATACAGTTTGTAATGTATGTATTATATAAGCAAACATGTATTTAGGAACAGACAAATATGTTTTGGTCTTGCACAAAATTGTCTTTCATAAAAAAACTGATGAAAATAAAAATAGCCTGTGTTTGTACAGAGTAAATTGCAGAAGTGTGGACTCAAGTCAAAGGACTTGGACATGAGTCCTAAATGATGTTATAAAAAAAAGTGTGCTGGGTATCCTGACAGAAGATGTGCTTTGAATCAATTCAGTAGCCATTCACTTTGCGTGAGCTGAATGGAAAGGTATATAACATGTAACTGTCGCAGGGAAAACAGACCAAAGCATGCCTGCTCATTTTGCATTGAAAGCAATAAATACAAATTCTAAATTGCATTCATTATCTAGGAAAATGAACTAAATGTCACTCTGTTAAATGGCATTCAATTTGATGATGGTGCACATAATTACCTGTTCAGGACTTGGACTGCAGCTTGGCTTTTAATTTGCAAAACCGGCTTTGTCCCTCCTCTGGTAAATTGTGAATAATTGTAGTTCCAGGCGGAGAATGGCCAAAAAATGATGCATCAACACAGCTTCTAATGTTAATAACAGTAATCAACATTTTCCCAACCCTATCTGTGAATACCATGTGTACATTTGTAAATCTTTGCACATGCTAAACAGATAAAGTCAACTGTGAGACCCATGATATGTTTATACTTACACTTAATTAAAGATTCGTATTATTAATACAACATATGAATCAGCCAATAAATTATTATGTATTTTATGGACTGGGATACAGCAGTGTATAAAGCTGCAGCACTAATTATAATTTTGAAGTCTGAAATGGACCATACTGCATAATGACAACTTTAAATTTTGATGCTAATACTTTTGTACACTCAGGAGGATACTGAATGCATGTCTTTTATGTGTCATAAATTATTTTAACACATATTTTAATTTTTATGAATGAACTTTTACAATACAGTGTGGTCTGGAACATATCTTAACAGAGTAATACACATACAAATGAATCATCAAGAAAGCATAAAACAAAACAAGAACAGCACCAAACAGAAAATGACAACAAAAATATAACAAATGTAACATAAATTAAAATTTAGATAAAAACGAGAGTGCAGGTTGCAGGAGGTTCACATGAGAATTTTGAAAATATTGCGTACATTCACCATTTTGACAGCTTTTATTGTTTTGTGAAGAAGAAATCTTTGACATCCTTCATCAATACAGAAAAAGATGTTTGTGAATGTGAAATCTGATGAGAGGCAACATTAGATAACTAAGAAGGAAGCATTAATATCTTTGTAACAGTAATCACAGCACCCATTTCTGCAGTTAATAGTAAAATAATAGAGATAATCAGCGTTACATTTAGCAGTCACAGTCTTCCCATAATGCATTATGTAAAAGTAGAAGACCAAATTAAATGGGAGCACGTTTCAGGATATAATTTACAAAAATCACTGCGTATTATCACAAAGCACCTACCACCATCTAGGCGTCATCAGGCCTGTTTCCTGGCAGTCAGACCTGAGGGCTGTAAAAATAAGCCAAAACTACACTGTCATGCTCTATGGTGACGTCATCACCGCGCGTCCTCTGCTCAGCCAGCGCACTGTCCATTGCGTTGTGTTGTAGCGTTTAATTGATTCAGCGGGGCGGTTTGTGTTGCCGTTGAATCGCTATTGTTTGTATGTATCGTGAATATACTTTGTAGTCGACGCTAAATTATTTCAACATGGAGTCCGGAGAGGCCAACGAGGGGGAGAAGGGAGGCTCTCTGTCGGCGGCGCAGAGAAGGGCAGAGATCCGGAGGAGAAAGCTGCTCATGAATTCAGAGGACAGGATGAACAGAATCGTAGGCTTCGCTAAAAACGAGTCTGAAAACAACGGTATGTTGTTATGAATGATCCGGTGCACACTACGGTGCTGTTAGGCGAGTCTCCTCTATTGAAACGTGTTATATTGACACCTGCTTCATCTTACTGCTGCTGTTTGAGTCAACAAATTACCTTTATCCACAGACAGTATCTTTGTTTCATTAATCATATGCAGATAAAACAGAGGGGGGATGTAACTAAGTACATTTACTCAAGTACTGTACCAAATTACATATTCATAGCCTTCCTGACCTGCCAAAAAATCTTCAAATATAGTGATCTTGAATTTCTATTTTACTTAAAACTGAAGGATGAAGTGTTGATGTAGGGGCTGAGAAAATGCTCCTGCTTCTTCAGCTAAATAAACCATATAGGACCCTCCTGAGTGAGGTGGAAAATGCATCGTCACTGAGCTGAAAACAGAGCTGTTTACCTGACACCATCAAAAGTTGAATTTTAAGAGACGAGTGGCTCTCCTAAGTAAAACACATAGGAAATGATGCATTATATTAAACTGCCAAACAGTACATAAAGGAGTTAAAATCAGTACATCCTTAAAGGGGAACTTCACCCATGGCAAAATTAATATATTTTACTCTTTTGGTCTAAAATAAAATATTAGTAAAAATGAAAAAGTCTCTCAAATCTGAAAATTAGAGTGCTAAAAATCTAATTTGTGTTGTCATTGAGTATAAAGTCTGGAGCTGCTCCACAGACAATGAATGATGTCAGATGTTATAGATGACACTGACAGCACTCAGGGGAATGTTACGAGTGCACGGGTGCATTTTCTGCCTCAGAACTGAGAACACTACAGTAGGATGAAGCTCATTCTGGTACAAGAAAGAAGACAATCTGCCAGAAGTTTGTCTCCCATTCATTATCTAGGGAGAAGCTCCAGACGTCACTAGTTTGAGCCTTACTTCTCTGGTTTCTGGCTTTAAGAGAAAGTCACAAATACTGATTGATCTTCCCTCGGCCATGGAAATAACATATTGGAATTCTTAATTAAGGTGGTGTTCTCCTTTAAACATCTACAGAAGTAAAATGCAACATACACATGAATGCAGCACTAACATTAATCCAAAAACATTACATGTAATAGTAAAATACAGACAGAAAATATTTTATTACACAGTGAGTACTTTTACTTTTAAAACAGGGCTTTTACTTGAAGTGGTGAATTTCAGCAGTGTGAATTTTGTACTTAAGTCAAGGTTCTGAATATGTCATCCACCACTGAGTATAAACGTGGCACATTATCTCAAGCTGGGATTCAAACCCGCAACAACCAGGTCCCACTGCAGCCAGGCCACCCACAGAAATGGCTGGGCCCCTGAAAAGGTCCAGTGAATAGACCCTCCCCGGATCTGCCTTACTCACATTAATGCATGCACTTGCTATCTCTCTCTTAATTTAGATCAGCTAATTTCCCAGATCATGTGGCCGGCCACTAATGACTCATGCTATTTTCAAGAGAGGACGTTTTATAATGAAACAGGCTACATTTTTCTATAGCAACAATTAATACAATGTTTATTGTTGTTTAATAAGTCATGGTGAACATGTCATAACTTAAATATGGTTAACATTACTTATATTTAGGTGTGGGGGGAAAACCATAATATGATATAATGATATAAATAATTAATATTACAAATACTAAAAATAATAATACAAATATATTTAACTTTAGGTAATCTACTAGAATAATATAATCAATTGCTTTTCAGTCCAGTAGATACATTTTGCTGCTGCAAAAAAGTTTATCTTATTAGATAAAACAGATGTTGACAAAGTTTTTCTTCTGAGACATAATTTACAGTTGGAAAAAGGTAATAAATCACAATATATTTTATTGCAATACTCAGCATATTGCAACATATTTTAAATGGCAATAACATTGTATCATGGATCTTCTGGTGATTCCCGCCCCTACTTATATTTAGGATGAACAAGATCTATCGCCCCTAGAAAGCATTCCCCTTTTTACCTTCCCATGGGCAGTCCTGTCCCTCTGTGACTCCACTGACTCAAGATGGCACTGAGTGGAAACAATCAGTCAAAAATTAATGTTAAGTTTTTACAGTTGATTAACCATCTTTAAATATTTTATTTAAAGCAAAGTTGCCAGAAATGATCTGGGTTCACCTTCTCAAATGTTGTCAGTGTGCGTGTTTCTTCATCTTTTATGATAGAAAATCCAATCATCTTGGATTATAAATAAACGATTTACTAGTTGATCAAGAAATGGCAGATATTATGGACAGATATTATCTATGGCAACAAGTTTCCATAGATAATATCTGTCCATTGAAGTTCTTTGTACTATGCCTGTAGCTCAGGGGCAGAAAGGATAGATCCATCTCAAATTGAGCCAAACCAATACAGGAACTTGATCGATATTTTAGGGTTAAAGGCCCTGAACTTATTGACTTATAGTTCAGTTTCCCATTCATCTGATGTCAAGTCAAGTCAGTTTATTTATATAACACATAAAAACAACAGATGTTGACCAAAGTGCTTTGTCACTGATGTTGTCTCCCATCTTCAGCCGGAGTGCTCCGGCGTCCAACAGAACCCCGCTTTCACCTTGACCTCGACAGGACGGAGCCATGGTCGTCATCCTCATCCTCCCCGAGACCATCTCCCTTCATGTCAGAGGCCTCAGCGCTCGGCAGCCGCTCCCACAGTGCCACCCCAGAGAGGAGGGGCTCACCCCTGCCAGACTGCAGTGAGCCACTCGGAGGCTCTCTGGGAAGCTCTTTGGACGACGACATGGGAGGGATCCGACCGAGACCAAGGGGGGAGCGGGCATCAGACGACATCAGCGGTTCCCCACGTCGAGGCCTCCAGAAGTACCTGTCACGTTTTGATGACGCCATGAAACTGCGGGGTCAGCTGGCCAGTGAGAAGCCGGCTCAGGACGGAGGGTCTGACTCAGAGGATTTTGATCCCTTCAGAATCTTCCGACTCATTGGCAGCATCCTCCTGGCTGTTTTTGTTCGGATTTTTGTCTGCAAGTTTCTGGTGAGTGTACTATCGGTCATTTTGACATGTTTGTGGCTTTGGGTCTTATTTTATCTCTGAACACTTACTTTTAAATTAGTGCTCAGAAATACTTTTAGTGGCAGTGTCACATTATATGTAACTAGGGTCTGATATCAGCCCACATTTAATAATAGTGCATCTCACTACCAGAGAAATGACATTGTTCTGTAATTTTTCTTTTGAAATTCTAGTCGATATTTGCTCCGTTTCTGACCCTCGAACTGGCCTACATGGGGTTGTCCAAATACTTTCCAAAGGTGAGTTTGTATGAAATATTTTATAATCCCTTTTCCATTGTTATAGACTCAAAATTATCATGTATGCAAACAGTGTTGCCTTAGATTTCCAAGAAGTATTATTGTAATTTTTTATTTTATTATTTTTTGTTTAGCCTTTGTTTAACCAGGAGTAGAAGACTCACTAAGATTGAAAATCTCTTTTTCAAGATTGTTGTGGCCAAGATAGGCACTAGTACAAAGAACACAGCAGCAGATATAAAACAAACATATAACAATTTAAAATAAAAACAAAGAACAAATTGCAGAATCCACCATTTGTCAAGACCCGCCCATGGTCCCACCCCCCTTGGTTACTGTTGCTGGGTTTGACAAGCCAAGCCTGGGGGGCGTTCATTCCCACAGGAAACAATGGAAAATACCGGGAGATTTAACTTTCTTGTAATTCGAATTGAATCCATCATTCTGTCCAAAACGCGGTGTCAGTGATAGAGAACAAACGTGGCTACAGTTGAGTGAACGGGCATTATATGACATCCGAAAACTTGTGAAAATCGCTGTTGTGTCCCAATGTCTGACAGTAGCCATGGCCACTAACGTGAGCTACTCTGGGAATATGTTCTGGATATCTTGAGTCACTGTTGCAGACACCCCAAGCACACCTTTTAACCATGTTAAAATAATATAACTCACTGATTTATCCGCGTTTGCCAGCTAGAAAGCTCTGCGTTTCCCCGTGAAGCCATTAACAACGAGCCTGGGAGAACACAGCCTGGGGCGGTGTTTGACGAACCCCAGTAAGTTAGCAACTGTTGCTATGGGGAGGAGCACTCTGGTTGGTGGGTTGGCAGACCAATCAGAAGGCCAACAAAGGGTCAACATTCAGAACATCTACAGCCAGATCTGCCTGATTCACAGTCAGTTAAAATCATTTTAGCTGCATCCACTGAAACCAGCCACTGAAGATTTAGATAATTTTGCGACTGATTCCAAGGTGAGGGAACAGCACACTGAAACACCCTGTTTCCCAGTTCAATATTGACTTTAGGGACCGTTAGTAGAAATAAGTCCTGGGAGCAAAGACCGTAACTCCCTATACTTTTTGTAGGATGTAGATCCATAGGTAAGAAGGAAGCAGTCCTGGAACACCCTTACCAATTATAGATGTTAAGAGATACTTTGACGGTTTTGATAAAAGTTATACAAGGTTTGATTTGGTTGGTTAATATTCCACTTTTCCTTTTTATACTTAGCAGCAGTGGTAGCCAAGGCCAGAGACATTATGTTTTCAGGTTGTCTGTTCCATTCTTGTGACTGCAGCATCTCAAGAACGCCTTGAGGGAATTTCTTCAAATTTGGCACAATGAAGTGATTAGCTGTTTAGTGTCATTCTGGTTAACGTGAACATGATATCTCAAGAACACCTTTAGGAAATGTTTTCAGTTCAATCAGGACCACCTTAATCAAAGAAAACTTTATTTACATTTGCAGTATTATATTTGGCAGTATGGCTCTGTCCTGGGGCCTCTGCCTCTCCTAGGCCCACGTGGAAAGAGAGCACACCTCTCCGCCAGTGTGTTTGCATACGTGGACAGCCTAAGGCAGAGAAATCACACCTGTCCGCCCATCTGTGTGCATATGTGGACAGCCTAAGGCAGAGAGAGCAAACCTCTCTGCCCTTCCATGTGCAAACAGGGAAAGCCTAAGGCAGGGAGAGCAGTGGCAAAGACCCCCCAGTAACAGTACAGAGCAGCATCAATGACAAACAGAAATGATAAGTCAGACACAACATAAAGAGGAGTGGTGGAGGCAGGTTGGAGGTTGTAGGCAGACCAAAGCAGTTTCAATAGGGTGCTCTGAATGAGATTTGCTAATTGGTTGCATAGAAAGGAATCATGTGATCTGTCAGCAGACTCCCTTCCATCAATCATCTTCTCCATCAGTTGATTGGGCTGTTTTAGGTCAGCTGATGTAGCTGGGATGTGAGCTGAGCTTGATGTCGTGTCCTGCCTGAGCTAACACCAGGCTCAATATTTGGCACAAACGTCTATTTGGAGTCAGTGATGAAGTGATTAGATTGTGGCGTTGAAATGTCAGGGTCTCTGTCACCTCACGTTTGTCTTATTCTCGTGAATATTTCTAGAAGGCCTTAAGGTAACTTCTGCCAATTTGGCACAAACGTCACAAACACAATAACTCAGGAATAGAAGGGAAGACATTTGGTCAGAATTGGTGACACTAATTTTGGGTGCCCACTTTGAAACTGTTGATTGTGTAGATCTGTGCTGCCAGGTTGAAGATGTGTGTGAAGCATCCATGTTGTACAATTTTTAGCTTCTTTGCAGCAACATACATATGAGAAACATTGTCTACTGTCATGGCTACATGTGACTCTGGAGAGACATGGATTTAAACTGTAATTGCAACTTGACTGGTTCGCAGAAGCATACAACTGCAAGGCGATAACTATGGAGATTGTGCATTGATAGAAGTTGGGTTCCATCCAGACATGACCTATTGCTCTGACTTCCTTGTGCTCTGGCTGAAAGCCCAGTCTTTGTAGCCACGAACATCTTACTGCTGGCTACACCCACACCAAGTATCACTGGAAGTTTACCAGTAACTTCTTTTAACACAATTTTTGTATGTTTGTATTATGTCTATCACAATTATCTGACATTTTATTGACTAAAGAATTGGTGTTACTGAGAATGTATTGCAGCCAGGTGTTTCAGTGTCTTTGCATTATACTCCTGTTCCTCCAGGTAGAGAAGAAGGCCCAGACCACTGTGCTGACCGCTGCCCTGTTGCTGTCCGGCATCCCCGCTGAGGTCATCAACCGCTCCATGGACACCTACAGGAGGATGGGGGACGTCTTTGCCGACCTCTGCGTTTACTTCTTCACCTTTATCCTCTCGCAAGAGATCCTGACGCTCATTGGCTCAGAGACTCCCTGATGGACCCTGATGGAGGTTCACCCCGCCCCCCTTCTTGTTTTCTCCTCCCTCTGTCCCCCATAGCAACAAGGCTTGGTCGTATTTGTCGGCTGACATGTTTGTTGTTGACAGTCTGGAAACAAGTCCTCGCTGCCTTATGATCAGGATCGCGCGTCAGCTTCAGGATTCCACTAATGCTAAGCTACATGTGACCACAGAGTCCAGTGTTTGTTACAGATCTCCAAATCATTTTTGCTCTGGACTGAACCTGAGAAACAGAAAGGCTTTGAAGAATGTACAGTGGCATTTATCGTGCTGAATGATATTTATTTGTCAGGTCGAGCACAGAAAATGGAAAACGTTATACTCAAGAGTGAACACCAGTTTCAGTTCATCATCAGTCTGGCAGCCACAGATTCCATTTAACTCGTGAATGGGAAACACTGGAGTTCCTCAGTTTCTGAAACTGACAGAACATCATTAACTTAAAAATTCGGATATTGATGCGTATGCAAGTGTTTACCAAATCATACAAAATAGTCAAAAACAATCTGGTGTTCAATGCAATGAACTGTCTTCCAGTGTTATGCATTACATCAGAAAAACCCTTCACATGTGTAAAACAGGACCTTTAAAGAGTAACTCTCAGTGTTCTGCTGCCCTCTCTGGTTGAACATTTAAAGTGTGTCGCACCTGTCACCACACCCAGTAGTGACATCACAGTGTACTCATGCTGCAATCCATTGCAAGTCAAGCGTTAATAAGTCCAACTCAGTATTTTCGACTTCCCATGTGCCTTCACAAGCATCTACAGAAGACCTACGTCAAATACCACAGCGCCGCTAGCAAAGACAAACAGCTTATGAAATAAGTCAACAGTCTCGCTCTTCTTTGCTCATTAAAATAGCGTAGAGTGTGTAAACGGATGTCGAGCTAATTGTGTGAACCACAGCCAATAGCATAAAACTGTTTTGTGAAGATGGAGATGGAGATACATTTGCCTTCAGAGACTTCGGTGAAGAACAGTCAACTTAATGGAAATGGAAATGGCAGCTGCATTGATGTTACAGCAGTTTCACAACAGTAAAAACACTTACTTAAAACACTACAAAAAGTAAAATAAATGATAAAGATGTCATTCCTCTCAGTTCAGTATGTGCTCTGCCATTTTGCTGCGACGTCAGGTTTGTTTATGTTGGCGAACTTGGTCTAGATGAAAAAGTTTCGGAGGCTGTTTTTTATCAAGTTCGCGTACAATGGATTGCAGCATATCACATCCTGAGTGCACCTCTATACCACTGCAGCAAGGTGAGAAGTTAAACCAATAGAGGGTGGCAAAAACATCTTTTCAGCTGCTGTTAAGTTGTACTTCAAAAACTCAAACTGTTTGAATGAACCCATTAATTTAAAGTGAGATTATGTAACTTTTGCTAAACAGCGGCCTCTATGGCTACAAGCGGCAATTACAGGAGCATGGTCTATGCTAAAATGTAGTGCAGCAGTAGCACAGGTTAAGGAATAAATAAGTTAGTGAACTCATTCGGTAATACCTGTTATAAAATGAGCCACAATAAGACTGCAGAACCCCTCGGTTTGCTTTATAATATATGAAGTCAGCTTTTCATTTGTGAGAAAATGAATGTGTTATTTATTCTTTAAAAATTACATAGTCTTGCTTTAAAGAACAGATTTACTGTAAGCCGCCCTGAGTCCTTCTCTATCCTAATAATCTCCAAAGATGTTGCATAACTGGGCAGGGTGTCATATTCTCAGCTAATACTCCGCACACTCCTCAGCAGGCTTTGGAGGTAGTTGATGTCCTAACTAGTATATACAGCACTATGAGTATGTTTTTCCTGTAAGTCAGCCTTGCAGTGCATCAGACAAGGTTGGGGTCAGTGCATTTTCAGGTCATGCTATTTCAAAACCTTAATCTAACCTTCACGTAACTCCACTAAAAAAAAAAAATCCACTTCTTTATTGAAATGTTAGTAAACTGAGGACAACTTTGGAGGGAAGGGGTTTGGCTGGAGCTCTTGTTCCGTTATGATTGATAATCGATGACTGATTAGAGCAGAAAGTTTAAGACGGATTATCATCAGGACTGACAGAGGCAGGTGGTTTCTTTTTTCCCCCTCGAACGTAATATCATCTTCTCTGCACCTCAAGCGGCAGACGACCTTGAGGCTTTGCAGTTGCGTCCCAAATGGCAATCATCACGAAGGTCCAACAAAAAGTTTCCTTTGAAAAGTGTTTACATGGAAGTTTAACACCATTTTTAAAAAAAACTTGAGATTAGTTTCTGACTTTATTCTCAGGATTCTGACTTAAATCTGTGAATCATTTCTTCTTTTTGCATGAATTCTGTGATAAAACTCAAGAGATTTGACTGTTTTTTTCTCCACATATGGCCTTCCTCTCTGCCATGTAAACATAAACTAGCAAGAAAAATAGAGTACTCCTTTTTTTCCGAGATCTCCAAGTTATTTTTAGGTCACAAAACATGAGGAACAGTTACACACATGACCCTGCAGCCGTAGTTTAAATAGAATCCAGCTCCTGATGATTTTAAGTGTCTTAAAGGAATACTTCACCAACACATTGACCCTGTGTATATCAGTTATTCTTGCTGTGTAACCTTCAGTTCTTGAAGAAAACCTGAATTTCCTCCCACGCCTCCACAGAAAACAGCGAAGATATTTATTGATTGATTGGGGTCCGTGTTTAACAGCAGCAAAACTATATATCAAAACAGTGGTTCACAAACTCACACACAGCTCCTGCAGTATAATCTAAGTCTGTAACTAATCTATGGCCATATTGTGGGTGACGTATTCCTTTAAGAACCTGAACTCTTGTTTAATTGGTGGATTCAAATCGTGTGTTTGTGTTGCGACAGATTTCCTCGTAGGCATGCTTTAAGTCCTATCTTCTTTTGCGATCTGTCATCCAGTATTCAGAAGGGTCCACCCATGTTATGATTAAGTTTTCCTCCTTAGTTCTCAGCTGTGAGAAGAAGCATTTAGTCCTTGAATGTGGAGTGTATTATTTTGCACGGCTGTGAGCTTAAAAATGCAGTAAACTTCATACAGCGTAACGGAACGTGTGTTAGACAAGAGCGTCTTGGCTTTTACTGGGAAGTGCTGTCGCTGCAAATATATGTGGGACAGTGGGAGTTTGTGCGCTTATTTGTGTTGAGTAATTCTGGTGATGTGTCCCGCTTTGCTTTGTTTGGAGCTACATCCATAAATCCTTCATATACTGTATACTCTCTAATTCTGTGCTGTAATGTCCTCTCTCCATACTTTTGATTTCATCCAAATTAATTTATTAATGTGAATTTCTTGTTTTCATGTAAATAATTTGGTGATTTATCCTACGACTTGTCTGACCTACTTGATTGTTTTTGATAACGTTTACAGAATAACTGTTTATAATGGCTCTTACAGTGTCTTACTTCAGTAACAAAGTCAGTGGTGACATGATGTAAAAACTCTCTGATTTAAAACATACAGGAATGAAAAAACTGATAATTCATACCAAATAAATACTACTTGTGTGACATTCTCTGTTTGTCTTTCTTTCTTCAGTACAGCCCATGCACAGATTTCAGTATCACTATATTCCAATGCATTATCAATCATATTCCTATTTAGAGGGGACAGCTGGATCTGGGCAGTTATTCTGTATTATGGTTTGTAAATGTCTTATCTGATGAACATCAATTTGATTATTGGACAACATTTTGCATACATGATACTTAACAACACATATATATATATATATATATAGATATATAGATACTGTAAAAATATTTATTAATTCTCCTTTAACATTGTTGTACTGATGTTGACCATGTCACCCAGCCATATCTTAAGGAAGACAAGAGTATTAGATTTCACTGTAATCATAATTTTGCTTTCATTTTTTAATTGAGCAAACAGTGGGATTTACAGCTGATAGATTTGTGATATTGGCCTATATGCTCGAATGTGGAGGCTCATGCACACCTTCATTAGCTTGTCGACAAGTGTGTTGGAGGAAGAGAATTCCTGCACACTGTCCTATTACTGACAATAAACTATTTAAATTCACGTTTCAGTCATCAGACCTTCATCAGGTAAAGTGAAGGAACAAAGAACATTCCAAAATGCATATAGATAACACCTTTTTAGGTGAGGCCATTGAAAAACAATAAAATGACACTGCAATCAATCCCACAGTATGTGTGTATTAGCCTGTAAGGCACCTCCCACTGTCAAAGATGGAGACTGTGGGCAACAACTACATCAATATAAACACTGAATAGCACAATTTTAAAAACAATATATCCAAAAACATGTCCAACATGTCAAATCTCAGGGCAAAATCATAACAATTACACATTTTTGGCCACCCCACATACAAGTGACCCATGCTTTTGGGGTAATGCTGGAGTGGGAGAAATAAGTAGACTCCAAGCTGCACAAAATAAGGCTGCAAGAATTATTCTTAGATGTCCAAATGATACTCCTATTGAAGAGTATCATTTGGACATCTAAATGATACTCTTCAATAGGAGTATCATTTGGACATCTAAATGATACTCCTATTGAAGAGTGATACAAAATACTAGAGTGGTCGTATATCAGGGATAAAATAGCTAGAAATGTTCTTCACTTATTTCATAACTTACATATTAAAAAGAAGCCAAGACTGCTGATAAGCAGGTTCCAGCAAGTGAAAGACAGACATTTAGTCAGCACAAGAGCAGAAGCACAAGTGATTATGTTTTACCCAGAACTAGGCTTGTAACTGGTATAGGATGTTTTGTTTTCGTGCTGTGAAGTTATGGAATGGTTTACCTGATCTCATTAGGAATTTACCAGAAAAATATTTTAAACAAAACATTAGGGGTATTTTTTAAGGAGTATTTGAAGTTTTATTGTAACTGTATGACTGTGATTGAGGGTATAGCTTCTATGTAATATTATCTGTATAGGCTTTGTTGTGTGTGTATAATACCATCCATGTGTTGTATGTATGTTTTTTGGTTTGTGTCTGTTCTATATTGTATTGTGTTTCATTTATACTGTATTGTGTTTCTATTATATTTTGTAATGTTTTTATGCTATGGACTCTTGGAAAAATAGCCCAAGTGGGCTAAAAGAGATCCAAATAAACAAACAAACAAACATACAAATGGGAGGCAGGCAATCACAATATAATTACCAAACAGTTATAATTAATCATATACTAGAGACAGTATAATAGAAAAAGTATTTATTAAATAAATAAATAAAAATAAATAATACATATATAAATAATAAAAACATATATATAGATAAAAAAGTCAATTTGCAAAATAAGTACAAGTAAACACCATGCAGACAATGTGTATTATTTGTGTTTATAAATAAAACTGACTTGACTTAAAAGCTTTGAAAGTTAAGAAAGAAAATATGAAAGTACATTCGGAAGAGACAAAACAAATCAAAGAAAAAAAATCAGAAGGTGAGAGTAATCACTGAGTTTGTATTCAATGCATAACATGAAATATTAGAGTAACAGAGCAACATTATGTTCCACCTATTTATTCTCCAAATGTCTTAGTCATCACTGTTTTCTAGTAAATGTGACAAAGTAAAAATACAGTTCCCTCTGATTTTGATGGAGGAAAAATATAGATATTAAAATACATATTCTGTATGAGTAATAAAGAAAAATACTTATGCAACCTAACATTTGGCACGTCCTGTCAGCTCAGTACAGTGCTGTAGTTCTGACCTCCTGCCACGCGGTGGCGCACTATGCTGCCATCCCACGAGTTTGTGACTTTAGCTGTCGCAGTTTTCTGACGTGCAGGTTCAAAGACACAAACAACCGTCCATCGCATGAGAGTGGTTTGTGTCTGTGAACTCATTTATATATTTTTCAGAACATAACCTCGTGACATAAAAATGGGACGTGAGTCAAGGTATGTCAGAATTTCCGAGTTTATGTGGTGTTTTAATTTCCGGTTGAATCCGTTGTGACTAACTCCTGCGGCTGCTAAAATGTAAACGTTTGAATCTCCGTGGCTAATTTCGATTAGCATGCTAGCTAAAACGCACAGATGTGTATGCACATTAAACAACAGTTAAGCTCATTTAGTCGTGGAATATGAATTTAAAAATGTTTTTATCGATTAAGTTTGTCATCAGACGTTTGTCAGCTATTGTGGTAATTATGCTGTTTGGCCCTCAGACACTACAGAAAGCGCTCCGCGTCGCGGGGACGGTCAGGCAGCCGATCAAAGAGCCGCTCTCCGGACAAACGCTCCAAGAAAGACGACCGGAGCAGGAGGGAGCGGTCACGGAGCCGGGACCGCCGCAGGTCCCGGTCCAGGGACAGAAAACGAGCCAGGTGGGTGTTCTCTGTTTAACTGTTGACTACGCAAGTGTTAAAGTAGAGAGACCACAGCTGTTACACCTAAAGAAACCAAACAGAACTAAAAGAGACGTAGAGGAGAATATTTTGCAGTGCATGGAGCTTGCTGTATCTGTGACATGATGACACTATGATCACCTGCAGCGTCCTTTGAGATGCTTATGTTCATTGCTTCGAAATTATAGAGGCAAAACACACAGTGGGCCGTGTCTGTGTTGTGTTCAATCGAAACAAAGTCATATTAAACCAACTTTAGTGTCCTTTAGGAGAGTGTAAATTTATTTAATGCGCTCTAAAAAGTCCAGGATGTCTGCCACTGTGACAGAGACAGTGGACAGTGTGAAAATGTTTTTAGAAGTGACAGTGACTGATGTTATCTTCTTCTTGTCTTATGTGTTTTCATGTCATATGCTTGCCTTTGGTGGCCAGGCGCTCCAGGAGCAGAGAGAGGAGGAGGTCCAGAAGCCGAGAAAGGAGGAGGTCGGGCAGCAGAAACCGAGCCAGAAGGTCCCGATCTGGTAGCCCTGGCAAGAGCAGAAGACCAGATGAAAAGTGACTTGAAATAAAAATAAATCACACATTTCAAGACATAACTGACAGCGCTCGTAACTAAAACCATGTTGCTGCTTTTTTTTTCCTCTTTCTTGTTTCCTGCAGGTCAAGGAGCAAGGAGAAAGACAACATTGATCCTTTATCTGACAAGAAAAAGATTAAAGAGGAGAAAGAGGACGATAAGGTTGAGGATGTAAGTTGCAGAAATGAAGTTCTTGCTGATCTCTAAAAGGTCACTATATAGTAGATGGGAAATATTTCTGATCTTTTCTCTGTGTCCATGCAGCAAGACTTTGACCAGAACAAGCTTGAGGAGGAGATGAGGAAGAGGAAGGAGCGTGTGGAGAAGTGGAGGGAAGAGCAGAGGAAGAAGGCAATCGAAAACATCGGCGAGATCAAGAAAGAACTGGAGGAGATGAAGCAGGGCAAAAAGTGGAGCTTGGAGGATGATGATGGTAAGAAAGCACTGATAAAGATAACGGACACAGTTTAATCCTTCATGTGTTGTTTCAGTGTTGATCACTTCACTAGTACAGACCTTAGCTTTAGCGCTGCAGAGTCTTATTATTGAATCTTCATTTCAGACGATGACGAGGATGTTTCCGCGCCGATGGAGGGAGATGATGATGACGATGGGGACGGAAAAGGGGACAGAAAAGACAGGGACATAAAGGAAGAGGACAAAGAGGAGGGTGAGAAGGAGAAGGAGACTCCCATGGAGCAGCAGGCCGAGGAGGACGATGTGGATCCTCTGGACGCCTACATGGAGGAGGTGAAACAGGAGGTGAAGAAGTTCAACATGGGAGGCATGAAAGGAAACGATAAGGTGAGTTTGGGGGGAGAATACTGCATCACTTTGGCTCAGAGTCCTGCAAGGGTCTCATTTTCAAGACCCACTCCTAAACTGGAATTCTAACATGCAATACTGCACCCGCCCATATGACCAGTTAGTTCCCCACCCTGGTCTGTCCCACTGACACAAGATCCACAGCCCGACCCATAACCATGAATTCTATAACAATCATGCACTGTAAATAATTTGGTTAGGCGGCACGTTCAAAGTGATCATTTTGGGACATTTCATTGGTGTTTAATGTTGTCAGGGTTATGAAAAAATATTTTGATGTTAAAGGACAATATCTAGTTCTTGTTAATTGTTAAAGGGACTTCGAATAATGTCTTACTTTAGTTAATTTCTATTAGAAATCAGTAGGAACTGCAACAAGATTGACAACCACCTCCTGTCAGTTGTCAACATCAGTTTGCCTGCTAGTGTTGGACTAGATGTCATCTTTGTGAATGTTTTCTTTTCCAGTTTTGCTAGATGACATGCAAGTTGTTTTTCTCTTCAACAGAAAGGAGCAATGACAGTGACCAAAGTGGTGACAGTTGTTAAAACCAAGAAAGGACCCCACACTCACAAGAAGAAGGGTGAGCTGATGGAGAATGACCAGGATGCTATGGAAGTGAGTCGTTTTTATGTTTAATTTTTTTTGTTACCACTATAAAACTTTTGTTTGTGATGGAGGTCACACACTCACCTGCTTTTTTTCAATACCGATGACTTATTTTATCCCAAAGCAACATTAATCTTCCCTCAGATTTAAAT